ATAAATTTCACGGTAATTTGTTACCTCAGTAAGATCATTTTGCAGTGTTTTCTGCTAAAACAGCTATGCATATTTACCCGTGGTTGATTGTGCGTCTCAAATGTACATTTATAAGACTAGCGCGTATTGCATAGAATCAGGATAACACAATCTATCTGTGATTTTTGCAAAATAAAACATTATTAACGTAATCGTGCTGGATCTTTTCGAACTTGTGCTGAAAGACATATTGGCGCTGATATGATCAATTAAACGAAACAAACTATCTTATAGCATACCTTTGATAACAATGAGAACCGTCTTATTAAATAACTCCGATACGATGATGTGTTTATATAGGTGTATTAAGATTTTCGGTTGATTACCATATATTTCTTTCGTATGGCATAATACCGATTACGAAGCACGAGTGAATTATCGGTATATTCTGCCATACGAATTAAATCAATATGGCATTCAATGGGAAAACCACCACATTTCCTTNTTTTATAACAGTGTTTTTTAGTTGAATCGACCAAAATACTGTAGAATCAAAAACGGCTTCGAGTTAGTTGCATGATATCTGACTCAAAGTATAATGTAATCAATATTATCTCGATACTAAACCTGATATCATCAAATGTGAAGCTATTAAATTGTGTATATCTTCACTGCACTGGAAAAGGTACAATTTGTGCTTTATTTTATTGTTTTGTTCTAAAAGATAAATTACGCAGATATATAGTATTATCTCATAATGACTGTGTGCAACGATTATGACTTCCGAATTAAAGATAAATTATATAATGTTTTCCGTACTGTGTTTAATTTAATAATACAATCTGCCGTATACAATTTTATCAAATGCTCGTACAATTTTGACCAAAGATCTTGTACGTCCACAACCCCTATCCAGCGGATATCCTACTCATACATGTATGTAGATCCATTATGTTATTTACGACCATAAAATATCAATAAAATGTACTAACTGTAGAATAAATGAAATCATTCGAGCAGATTTCACTATGAATCAGAGATAATAACGTTCAGTGCTTACGAAATGTAGGCACAGTCGTTACATTTGTATACTTTTTTTCTGTAATATTTTATGTAACAGTAATTTGTTACCTAAATGAAATTATTTTTCGGAGTCTACCAATAAAAAAGTTTTGTATATTTACCTGGGTTTATATTGTGACATATAACCTGTCTACAATCCATACTTACCAACCAGATGATGTTGTTTTTTAGAAATATCAATCACTTGTTGTTCTGATATTTGATTTAACTAACTGTTACGTTTTCCAAATTATAACATTACAAGTGTAGCACTGTTTTCTTTAATTAACTTAAATATCAGATTAAAGCTAAACCTTCAGTTATCGCTTTATCTGTGATAACGTTTTAGAAAGATTGATAATTTCACATGATCCTGGACTTATTTTTTTCTTAAATGTTTTCGTTTTTATTGCTGTTCTAACATTAAAACATAAGTCCCCTTTAGGGGGTTCAATGTTAAAAATGGAAAGCATGTTTAGGGAACAGGTATGCATATTTATATATATATGTATATATATAATAAACTATATATGACAAACTATTAAGTTGACTTTCTACATCATAATAGTTCTATATAGGAACAGCTTATTACGATATGTTTTGTTATTTATAACAATACCTTACGTAGGACATTCCACACGCTTAATATAGTACCATTTACGTAGTCCACACACATAGGTTATATATAACATAGGAAATTCCACACGCTAATAATAGCTTCATTTACGTAATCGCGATGTAGTGTCGACTCATATAGGTTATATATAGTATAGGAAAGTCAATATGCTAAATATAACATCAAGCACGCAATATTGACGTACATGCGAGTAGCTACATTTGTAGGTCAAAGTATCCAATCGTATAAAGATAATACAAGAGAAATAGGACACACACACAACACCATCCTAACCCATGTGCTTTGATAAAACTGCACTTAGGCTGAACGTTTTCTTCACAATGTAATGCAATTGTAATTTATGACGTGGGAGAATTATTTCTTTTAAAATATCCTGGCTTTTTTGTCGTCAATTGTTTTAAATTAATCTGTGTGAATGATATATCCCCTTGTCTGTCACAATGAATTGCATCTTCTTTTCACTGACTTGTATTGATGGATGATATAAATGATAACTATTCCCTTCTGTCTGTCACTGTAATTCACCCCGGTCAATGTCTCCTTACTGCTATGTGTGGTTTTTGACCAAACTGATCATGTAAAATATTACAGCAACATTTCCCCAAATAACGTTACAGAAAACCAGTGTTTCTGTTACGTTGAGAACAATTCTTATGGCTTTATTCGAATTCAAAACACCACGGATATTTAGTTTAAACCAAAAAAGAATATAGTTTAAATCTATTTATAGACGCTAAGAACAAAAACTTATTGAAAAAACAATCGTTATATTCGATAATGTAAAAATATCAAATGTCAAAATTGTTTTCATATCCGTTTTAAACATTTGACTGAAAACCTATCGATTAACATTTCTAGCGAAATTTGAATATGCTATAAAGCTTTTACCCGTCACTGTAAACGCATGTCATTTTTCACATATGTACCTGGGTTATCGTGTAAATATAGACATTTAAACACTATGTATATGCATATCTATAATCATAGCAATTCACATCATACATCATAGTTCAAAGGACCGCCAAAAGTAATAACATGTACCAATCATAATAATAATGATAATAATTCAAGGATCTAATATAACGCATTGTCACAACCTAGTTCGTAGATCGTGTCAAAGCGGTTAACAAATTATTATCCGTGGTTAAAGGGCCTTTACAACCAGACAACATCTTTCTCAACTCACTGGGGAGCACAGGCGGCCGGTGCTGCCAGCCATTTCGGCGCTCACAGCTAGCATTCAACAATTCTAGCACTGCCCAACCACATACTCATTTACAGTTGAGTAGACTGGAACAAGCGGAGTAAAGTATATTGCTCAAAGATACAACACAGTGCCGTGCCGTGACTCGTACACGCAACCCTTCGGTCACAAGCCCGGCGTCTTACCACTAGACTACCACGCCTCCATATACGAGAAAGACCGCGATAACATTTCAACGAGCTGTTTCTGTAATACTTCGCGGTTTATAAAGCACACATTTACTACCCGTGTACCTTTATTACTAAGAACTCTTTGATCTGCCTTCCCTTAAACATTCTTTATGATTTAGATAATGATAGAACATCACGTTCTTTATTTTCTGGATTTGAGAACAATTTTCTCGTCACGGGCACGAGGTCACCGCAGATGGTCTAAAGATTTTAACATCATGACAACAGTGTGATTATTTAGTTACTATCTCACAATCTTTTGTTTCCTTTTTTTAATTCCAGTAACAGAACATCTGTTGTTATGTCTACTACAAGTCGCTCAAGTTGATCAAGTCAAAGTACGTCTGGGAGTTTACAATGTTCTTTTGCGTCGAGTAATAGTATCCGACAAGGCACACCGATCGAGGATCATGGACGGTTTGAAAAATGCAAAGAAGGTTGTATGATCTAGATAGAACGGTCTACCTTTCTTCATTAAGTCATATATACAGGTAAGCTTATTTAAGACGTATTTGCTGCATTAAGTTCACAAATACACATGACATGCATTTAAACTTTTGATACTATTTTCCCCTCATTTAGTCGGTTTATCATATACGTTGCATGCTTCTTTATACTTGTTTTTAGTTTGTTTTACTTTCCTATAATTACCAACATGGAAATTATCGTTTTACTTGTTACATTGTATGTTTAAGGACTCGCACAACTAAATCAGCCAATCAGCAAGTGCTTTATAAGTGTATAGTCCCCATCTAAAATTAATTCCGGCTAATAACTGGGCCACTGAGACTGTTTAATAAGGAACTGATGACACATTTTTAGATAAATGAAATGTTCAGGTATATAAATGTTGAAAAATGTATACTTTTGATATATATTTCAATGTGTGTGTGCGGATTTGCACGGGGGCAAAATGTCTGGGGGCGTTTCTGTTTTGGGTCACCGGTTTTGCTTGTAAACTTCCGGTTGTCAACTTCTGGACGCTGTGACACTCCAATATGCCACTAAACCTATCAAAAAGTCTCTTTTCAGCCTTTGCAAGGTATGTATTGATGAATCTAGACAGTTGTCACAAGTGTTGAACTTCAAATATTAAAGTAATTAGCTAAAATGTTTGGTAATAACATACAGTAAATTATTAAGTTGTGTGAGTCCTTTAAATATGTCCTTACTATTGTGACGCTACATTCCGGAGGTTATGTATTGCATATTTGTTTACATAAAGAAGTATGCATTTTCCTGCCATCATTACTCATTTATTAACGTACATATAATTCATGTTGGTGCATAGTTTATTTATTTGGAAAAAACACCAAAAAAATACCGATTTGTCAACAATACCATAATTCCAACTCAAAATCAATAAACTCTGGCAAAATATTAAATAAGGAAAGATTTTCAAAGAGACCCTTGAAAAAGGACAAGGAGAACAAAACCAGGTATTCCGGAAGGGCATGCGTCGTCTGCTTCAAATCTAGTAAATCTAGGTTATATCCAAGTAATGTCACGTCCTCAGATCAAATCGACAGGGCATTGTACACAAAATACAGGTTTAATTCACTTGATAAAATGTCATTTTTTTTACAATTATGTCCTATCTGTACGTTTTCGGAAGGAAAGAAAAATATGTTGAATTAATTTCATCATGATAGAAAGGAAATGTATACGTCTCTAATCTAGGACATTTCTTTTAAAATGTTAGAGTTTGAAGATCCATAATATGTACTCTTGATATTCTAGTTCGAAAATAATAAGAAACGCTTTGTTTTATTGACTTTTCATGTTACTCAAACAGCGATTTAATGATTTAAAGAATAAACGCATGATGCTTCACACATTATTCATCGAGAAAAGACCAAGCTTTCATTGATACTTAGCTGTTATATTTGTATGTGATTGAAATTTTCGATAATTTGAAGTAGTGTATCGTACTTTGTGCCATCAGTACATAATCGGTTCTACAAGTTATATGCGATAAATTCAGGAAAAAAACCTTGAGAGCCCTGTGAAGAATGATAGCTGCTAGTTTTGAAGTCGGTCAACGTTAAAAAGCCTCGTGATGGGTAATGACTACTTGTTTCAAAGTCGGTCATAATATCATTTTTTATAAGCTTATCTATCTTACATGGACATTTAATCTTTTTTATTATATATTTTCCACGGTCAGGAAAGGAGAAGATAGTGGATTTCGTGGAGAACCATGGAGGTGACGTCGAGTCACCTGACGCATACTAGACCATTGCCGAGTGCAACTTCGTGACAGATAATTACTTGGACGACGAAATAACGTAAGTGTAGGCGAACTTACCCAAGAACGTTGTATACCTGGATATTTGACCCAAGAACGTTGTATACCTGGATATTTGACTTTGTTTGATATTTCAATATCTATATGATTATAAGCAGTTTATAACGAACCAATTTAAGCGCTTTGGTTTATTTTCTTAGCGTTGGACAGACAGCTGATCATAAATAATACAAACATATTAATTTAAACTTTCTTTTTTACTCTCTAGACGGAGCACGAAAAAACAGTATTCAACTTAAGCAGGTTTAATTTGTCAAGTGAGTGAGTGAGTGAGTGAGTGTGTGAGTGATAAAATGAGTAAGTGAATGAATGAGTAAGTGAATGAATGAGTAAGTGAATGAGGGAGTCAGTGAGTCAGTGAGTGAGCAAGCGAGTGTTTGTGGTTTGGTTTAAGCAGGTTTTCGGATTATGTAGGGTAATGTTTGGTAAGGCTACACCTTAGCATTTTAGTTATTGTCATATTTTCTTTTACCGGCCTTTACCAGCAGATGAATTGTCAAGAGAGCACTTAATTGTATACCAAAGGATCTTAAATACGATCTAGGCAGGTACAACTGTGAGCATTTTGCGACATGGTGTAGATATGAGTTTGCCTACTGTCACCAACCGTGTGAGGTAGCAGCTACTTTGGGAACTGTTTTTGGTTAGAATCAAGTACACGCAACCATAAACGCACATTCAAAAAAGGCATTCTACAATGTGGACACTTAATCCATTAACAAACAATTGTTCATTGGAAGCTTAAAAGTAAAGAAGTTATAATGACAGTGCGAATAGAGAAATTTATGAAATGTTCGAGGTCGTCCATTTATCAAATCAAAAATAAAGAATCAACTCGTGTAACACCATAAGAAGCTTAACAGTTACTACGGATTCATGGTCAGGTTTGGCTGTTCCAAATATAAAGCAAGGAAGTTACTGAATTAATAAGCTGATATCAAAGCATACCCACTCGGCCACCAGTTAGCAGAAGGCTCATTGTACTGAAAACACTATCGTGAAATTGTTTGTAGGGAATCTGTGAATGAAGAGCAAAACTATGTGAATAAAAACAGTAGAAAACATGTGAAAACGACGAAGGGATATACTTAGACATCAGCAAATAAATCCAGTTAAAACTGTTTTAGTCTTGTTTGCTTTTTATTGTTCTTAACATCCCGTTCATTTTTGATAGAAATACTTTATACAGTACATTAAAATAAGCGTAAATTTCCATCCAGTTAAACACGTATCCCATTTTAGCTATTCCTATTAAGTTTTGTTTTGTGTGCCTCTTCGGAGATTTGTGTTAACACATGTTTGTATAACATAACAAAATGTTGATTTTTTTATGTAAAGCAGTAAATTAAACAAAGGGATTTAGGGATGTGGAATTCAAAAAATATGATTGTTTGATTACTTTTACATGCAGTGAATGTGAAACTGACTGTAAGCTGTGATCTTATGATAGTATGTTTAAAGCCGCATCCGATTATGATACCAAATATAATCACCATTCCTCACAGACTGGACTAAATCTTAGTCCACTTATTCTACATCTACACACCAAACGAGCAGTTATGTACATTGGTGACACACCACTTACATGTATATCGAGCTATATTAGTAATAAGCTAATGGTGTACAGTTTCATTTGCAATTAGCGTTTCCGAAATAATGGAAAATCTTGTCCATGTTGTACCTGCATAGTAAGTTATAAACCCTTATAGTTTCCATTTTCTTCATTGCTTCATCCCAATCTTATCAGATGGAAGATTAAACCTTTCATCTATTTAATAGTTGATGACATGACTTGGTTTTTCGCATTTTATCTGCAGTTAAGTACATATGTAACTTTCAAAATCTATATTAATATTTAGCTACCTGTATGCAACAAATTAAATATCTATAATTTGATATGGAGTTAAATCGTTGTTTTTTTAAACTCGTTATCTTAAACTCGCTTGCGACGCGAGTAGTATCTATGTCCATACATATATAAAATAAAGCGGATTTGTATGGTCAACATCAGTTATGTTTAACATAATGTGTAAATCATTAGTGATCTATAGGTGGGATCCAATTATTGAATTCTAAATAAGTATATAAGCAATGTGTCAAACGATTTTGGTGAGTGATGTGAATATAATTGATAATTATGTTATGTACGTTATATAGTTAGATGGTTTGATGATGTATATTTGCTGTGTTTTTATTTGAATTCTATGGTTCGACTGAATGCAGAATCAAAATAAACAGATAGAATTCACCACATAGTATGCTGCTGTGGTCAGCAAAGATAAAGCCACAATTAAATTATGCCATGTATATTTAGAAAGAAAAAACACGAAAGTAAACAGTAGGGTTTTTTAACTGTTTACCGACATTGCCGCTCTGTGACTTGGACGTGTATCTACTTAATATAGCTATTTAGGACTGGATGATCAATATTAGCGTCTACATAGCAGCAGTAACACCAGACTCGTCTGAGCCTGCACTACGGCGACTCCAGGGGAAGGAGCATCAAGTACAGGCATGGCTACTAGTCAAGATTATCCGAATAGGTATCCCTACATAAGACTGCACTGTAAGTTTTTATTTCTCAGAACCGGGTATTGCTGTCGACATCACTTGATTACTGTCACAGTCCGTCCCATGAAAACATTAATCGATCGTGTATACGCCACTATTGGTAGTTGCTGGTGAGTGTCGATGACTCACTGTTTAGTATGACACGGCTCACAGTAAACAAAATACGACTGAACACACCATCTGTCGATTTGGGTTATAGAAAATATGGTGCTATCTTTTGCGATTATAGTAACATCATTATACATATAAACATATGCGTTATGTACATATGTATTAGTGGACAGTACGTGCAGCTGATTGGACACTTGTGATATCATCGCTCTGTTTTCAATATAGCTACAGTAGTGCGGTATCGGTCCACAGGAGCCGGTTTTTACGATGGCCGATAGCGGCTGACAGAACACTCATATTAGTAAAAAGTGTTCTGTCTGACAGTTTG